GGAAAGGGTGGAGAGATTCAACCAGTTAGCGTGAAAGTTGGAGATAAAGTTCTTCTCCCAGAATACGGAGGCACCAAAGTAGTTCTAGATGACAAGGATTCTTTCCTATTTAGAGATGGTGACATTCTTGGAGAGTACGTAGACTGAAATAAGTCACTATTGAAATGGCATCAACATGAAGCTGCCCATTCCACTGAAGTTCTGAAATCGTTCATCATGTCAATAATTTGCATATTTCTCTTTTATAATAAACTAATGAAAACTAATGACAAAAAATAAAAGGAAAAAGTACCTTCTAAATTTGCAGCAAGAGGCAGGAGCAATCTTAAAAAGGGGGTTTGAGAAGCCAGCAGCCCACCCTTAGGTGGTCTCGGGATCCCCTCCTGCCACGGTAGAAGCCTGAATTTTCAGATTTTCTCCAAGTGTAAAGATAAAAAAGTAAATGAACCAAAACAGTTCAAAATTAAGTTGATATTATTTAAACACTTCATTATATACTCCAGTTTCTCTTCTGATTGCATAAAAACCAAAGGGAAACTCTCTGCCTTCTAGAAATGAGTTTGTCCAAAGGAATTTCTAGCCTTGAATTTGTACCAAAAAAAAAAAAACAAACCCTAAAAACATATGAGTGATCAGTTGGCCCTGTTGGGGTCTTTCTGGTTGGAAGATGAATAAGGAAAGGCACATCTGACATTTCATTTCACTGACATTTTATTTTGTTCTCAGTCTTTTTTCCTCTGTTTCCTCAAGTACATTTTCTGCTATGATGCTGCAAACGGGCACCAGCGTGAGTCAGACCCATTTAAGACTGTTGAGCCTCACAGGTTTAGCGATTTAATTACGTGTTTTGTGGGATTCGCAAGCAGCGTGCAATCTCCCCGCATGTGTCAGGTCCACACATGGCAGTGTCCCTTGTCTCTCTCTGGGTTTGTTTGGTGGTACATCAGGCCAGTCTCTGGAAGCCTGGAATTAAGGATGCAAGCATGTTCATGCGCGTGGTGTAGGATGGATGGGGAAGGCAATCACAGGAGACCTTCCGCTCCCTCCTCCACCTGGGGCTGGGCCCTGAAAACGTGAGTGGGATACGGTGAGGGTTTGTTGTGTGTGTGTGTTTTGTGAACATGTTGATGAAGGGTGCTGGCCAATCATACAGAAAGAAACATCTGGCAGGCACTTGGAAATGTGGAATGGGTGTTCAGGGCAAAGGGCCATCCAGTTCACCAAGTCAACAGATGCTGATCTTCACAGCAGTCTCTGCAACAAGATGCTGTTCCAGATGCCAGAGAGACTGCAGGAAGCAAACAAGTGCTCGGGGCTCAGTTTCTAGAGGGGGAGGGATCCCTGCAGAGGGACCAAGGCACCTGTCAGCCATGAGGTGCTAAGAGGTAGGAGGAAGCGCATGAAGAGGGGCAGGGAGTCAGGAAAGGTGGAAGGGAGACGGGAAGAGCACTGGAACAGGGGGCGGGCCCGAGGCTGCTGGGGCGAGAGGCCTTAGAGCAAGGGCACCTGTGCTGCTGCGGTCCCAAGAGCGGTGGTGACTGGTGCACAGTGTCATGATGATACTAAGAACCGCTGCATTGTAAACTTTAAAGTGGTGAATGTTATGGTATGTGAATTGTATCTCAACACAAAAAAGTGATTCATCACAAAATGGTTGAAAGCAGTTTAAAAAGATTGAGTGATGTAAATTTAAAAATTAAAACCTCTTGATTCCTTCACCAACTACACCTTCCTACTTTCCAAAGGGAAACCATGTTACCACTGTGCAGAAACCTTCTAGGACCCAAGTATATCTGTGAGTATCTTTTTTTCTTTTTGGCAAAAACAGGATCAAACTTTAAGTGGTGTTTTGCAGCTCGCTTTGTTTATGGGGCGATAAACATTTCTATGTCAATTCAAGTGCCTTTGTTAAAGAAGTGCCTAGTATCCCATTGTCTGGCAGTCCTATCACTCACTTCAGCAGTCCTTTATCAATGGACACTTAAATGTTTCCAAAATTTTGCCATTAGACTCTGGACTGAATATGCTTGTGCTGGCATCTCTGTAAACTGATGCAAGCATCTGTGTTGCATGAATTCCTGGAAGTAAAACTGATGGGCCAAAGGACATGTGTGTTTTAGATCTTGATAAATATTGCCAAATGGCTTTCCAAAAACTGTTCCTAATGGACAGGGTCCCAGCAGTCAAGCAGGCGCCGCTTCCTCCTACCCTGCGGGCTAAAGTCTTCCTCCTGTGAAGAAGTCTCCAAGACCACTTAATTGGGGGTGATGGAGAAGGCAGGGCGTGGGGAGGTGAGCCTCAGCCCATCATGGCTTGAGCTAGGATGGCTGTATTTTCATTTGGATATAAACTGTGATTCTGATAACAAGGTTTTTGATCAAAGAATCCTGCTTTAAAAAAAAAAAAAAAACAGTAAGAAAAATAGGCCTGGCGCAGTGGCTCAATCCTGTAATCCCAGCACTTTGGGAGGCCGAGGAGGGTGGATCATCTGAGGTCAGGAGTTCAAGACCAACCTGGCCAACATGGTGAAACCCCATCTCTACTAAAAATACAAAAATTAGCCCGGCGTGGTGGTGCACACCTGTAATCCTAGCTACACAGGAGGCTGAGGCAGAAGAATCACTTGAACCTGGGAGGTGGAACTTGCAGTGAGCTGAGATCGTGCCACTGCACTATAGCCTGGGCGACAGAGCGAGACTCCATCTAAAAAAGAAAAAAAAATCTAAAAAGAAAAAAATTTTTAAGTTTAAATGAAGAAAAGAGGAAGAAGAAAGAAGAAAGAAGGAAGAAGAAGAAGAAGAAGGTTGGGGTAAAAAGAAGAAGAAGAAGAAGAAGAAGAGAAGAAGAAGAAAGGAGGAAGAGGAAGAAGAAGAAGGAGGGAGGAGGGAGGAGGAAGAAGAAGAAGAAGAAGAAGAAGAAGAAGAAGAAGAAGAAGGTAAGAAGACGAAGAAGACGAAGAAGAAGAAGAAGAAAGGAGGAAGAAGAGGAAGAAGAGGAGGAAGAGGAGGAGTACAGTCATAAGAAGGAGGAGGAGGAGGGAGGAGAAGGAGGAGGAGGAGAAAGAAGAAGAAAGAAGAAGAAGTAGTTTGGAAACCATTAACAGGTTCTTCTAAAGCCATGTTCCCTCTCCCTTCCAGAGTCCCATTTAACCCTGCTGTGGCCTCCAAATAGCACCCAATGAGCTTCACACCAGCGTTCACGCCTGTGTAGCCCCATTTCACACCTAACAGAGAGGACCTGTGTTCCCACAGGTAATGCAGAATAATGGTATTAAGGACATTGCAGCTTCCGCCTGGGGTCGTCTGATCTCCCATTCTGGAGTAAGATAGCACTGTGTCCTGAGGGCAGAGGGGCAGCCCTTTGAGGACCCCAGGTGAGGTGGAGCCAGCCTGGAAGTCACCCTCAGGCCCTCAGCCTGACCCACCCCATGCCTGTGGTCTCCTGGGAGACCCTGAGCCAGCACCACCCCCCTGAGGTGCTCCTGAATCCCAGCCCACAGAAACTGTGTGAGATAACTTGTGTTGATTGTTGTCTAAGCTGTAAAGGTTGGGTGAGCGTTATGCAACAATGGATAACAGTAGACCTGGACTTGTGTGGTTTGGGGTCCTAGATGCTAAAAATCTGGTTTTATTCTTGGATTTAAACCCACCTCTGCCTCTTCCCCGTCGGAGGTACTTGGCATTTCCTCCTGGGTTAGGACATCCAGCCCCAGGCATCTCCTCTCATGACCTCTACCAAAGTGGTGACAGTTCAGAGGAAGGTCCTTGGTATGGACAGGAGTTGTGAGGGTGGACAGAGTGACTCGGTGATTGAATACTAAACCCAAATTTAAAATAAACGTGGGTCATTTGGTCCTATAATCTTTGAAAAAGCAATTATGTATAACGGCAGAAGGTTTCAGCTGGATGTCAGATTATACGGATTTGAGAGTCAGTAGGAGGCAAGAAGAGTGGGAACTATTCCTTTCAATGTGATGGTGGGAAGCGAAAACAGAGGGCTCTTTTCTATTGTTTCTTGGTTGGGTTGTCTATTAAGACATGGAGAGGTGAGCTTGTGTTGTGGGACTAAAAAAAGGGATTCGTAGGAGGAGATTAAAAATGCAATTGAGAGAGGGTCATGGGTGGAGAGGGGTGCAGAAAGACCGGGGTGAACTTGACTCCTGTGGTTTCCCTGAACTCTGCCTCATTCTGGAGAGAACTGGGGATAACTGGCGTCTCAGTGGGACTGTGGAGTCCACAGGTGTGGAACGAGGTGCTTGTCCAGCTGAGGTGGGTCTTCCTGGAGTTGGAAGCATGGATGTGCAGGAACCCCGGGAACCCCTGTCACGAAGGCTGGCAATGCCACCTGAGAGCCAACTCGAGAAGTGGCCATCAGAAACCTGTGATGATGAGCCCATGGCTCTCCTTTTGCCCGGTGCACCCCAAGTGTGGGGACTGTACTAGGCACACACACAATGGGCATTTAATGCACATTGAATAAATGACGTTTGAATGCGGTCACTCAGAGTTGGTGATTACCGAAGTCAGAATGGAGGGAGGTCAAAGGGCCGTGGCGTGAGGGAGGAAGGAAGAACCTCGTGGCAATGGCCGAACTGGGAATCCAGAGGTAAACTGATCCAGCATGGGGGAGGGAGACTTAGGATCTGGAGATGATGTAATAAGAGTAGCAGGGCCTGAGAGGGAGGCAGCAGGAATGTGGCTGGAGGAGCCTTCAGGAGCCCTCTGCCAGGGTCCTGAGAATCCATGGGCTGGGGCCAGGGAGAGGAGAGGTCGAGGCTGGGACCACGGTGTCCTCTTCTTAATCAAAAGCTGATGCATTTTGTTTCCTCTTGAAGGCCTCCGAGTCCCCACAAATCCCTGCCCTGTTCACAACAGTCAGGGCTTTGTGCTTCTCTCTGAAATAAAACTTTTATCTTAAAAAAAGAAAAGAAAATGTATCCAATATAGTATATCATAATCACAGTATTGGGAACTTTCCCGACTCTGGTGGGAAGAAGGAGGAAGTCGTGGGCTCACTGGGGCACGGGAAAAAAATACCAGAGAAGTCCACTCCTAATTTTGTTTCTCTCCTCTTCTGGGTTTCTGCTGTAATGGATTGAAAATACACAGGAAATGTAATGCAAAACTTGGCTTTGATTTTTTTTTCCCCCCACCTAACCCTGTAAAGGTTTGGAAAGACTTGATTACATGGCAGGGAAAGTAAAAATGTGGATGAAATACCCTGACGCTCAGGCCACATGACCAGGTGATAAGGCGTTCTGAGATTACCAGCAGCCGCTGCTGGCTCAGGTGCGGCCTGTGTGGGAGGACTCGTGTCTCGGTGGTTACAGAGAAGCTGCTTTCCACTGTGTGAACCTGGACTGAATCACAGGCCGCTTTTTGTTCTCCCTTGGCCTTGGAGGACCTGGGACGTTCCTGTTGCCCAACACCCTGGTGAGCTGAGAACATTCTGTAGATTAATTAGGTTCTCTCCTCCGGCTCAGCAGGTCTGTTCTAGCCATTTGACCAAACGTGCTCTGATATTTTCTACCAGCCTTAGAAGCACAGACTGCAGATGTGGGCACATAAATGTCTGGGAGGGGCACACAGATACTGTGGGAGGAGTGGGTCTGGCTTAGCTATTGGGAGCTCTCGGTCGTCCACTTGGCGCTACGTAGAAAGAATGCCCTGACGTGAAAGTGACAGGCAGCTCGGCAATTTCTTGATGGCCTGAACTTGAGTGCGGCCTGTGCTAGAGAAAATAGATGGTGCTGCTTAAAAACAAAAGCTAGCAGCCTGCGAGTAGCGCTGTGCCTGCGAGTTCCTGGGAGCAGGAGGGGGCTGTTCCTCCTCCCCTGGCTCCAGTTTCACCCAAGTCACTTCACAGCAGTTGGAAGGAGGTCACCAATTGTGAGTGTGGGGCGGGGGGCGGGGAGGGAGAGGAAGTGAGATGAAAAGGGAAGGCCCCGTTCAGCTGGGAGAGGAGCTCGCGGGCTTTCCCGCGGGCCGGCCTGAAGTGGAAGGGCCCGGGGCTGCCTGCCACCCTCGGATGCCACGCAGGTGCTGGGAGGGCCCCCGTCCGTGGGCTCAGGGACGTGTTCGCACCGACAGGCACAGAATGGAAAGCACCTTGGGGAAGAAGCGTGTCTCGCCATCTCAGGAGGCAGGTCGGGCCTGCCCTACCCGGTGCTCACTGGAGCTCCCCGCCGCCCCCCACGTGCTGGGGAGCGGGTCCGGTTCCCCACCAGTTTGCGTCTGGTCTTTGTGTTTGCTCTGGGGCCAGGCGCGCCCCCTGCTGCAGGCCTGGGCTCCTGTTTGGAGTTCTCCTTTCATTTATTGCTAAATTGTCTTGAAAGGCAGTGGCCACACCAACAGAGGTCGTCCGGCCTTCTTCCCACGAAACGAAGCGCCCAAGTGAAAATGCATGTACCCGCGGCAGCTTCTCGGCGGCGGGCTTCCTGGGACGGAAGAGACAGGCTCGCCCCAGGGAGACGGAAGCAGGGGATCGGCTGGAACTCAGCTCGCCTCCTCCTTTCTCAGCAGGGCAGAGAATCATGGGCTTGTGCTGACGAAAGCTCCAGAAAATGGACTCATTTAACCTTTCCAAAGATGTTATCCAAGCTGCAAAATCTTGGCAATCTGAAGACCTTTTAAGTCGATATACCAAAGAGTTTTAGTCAGGATTGAATGCAAAATGCCAGAATTTCACTTTTAAAATCGTCGTAACATCTAAATACAACCTAAGCACACTTGTAAACTGATGCCGAACAGGCACTTTGAGAGCCCTCCCTGCACCCCTTCCTCGCCCCCTCCTTTGTGCAAATGCTGTTTGCCCAGAACTTCAGCCACTGAAAATCCTGGGAACTTTCTCTTCCTGGCTGGCTGGCAACCTAGCAGTTTGGACTCCCAGAGGAGGTTTTTAAATCACTGAGGGATTTAAGCCTCTCTGTGTCATAGAAAAGCCAACACCCTCCCAGTTGAAGGTGGCCCCAAAGATGCGGGCCTGGGACCCAGGACTTCTGCCGAAGAGTGGACGCCTGGGTGCCCCCCCTCGCCTTGCCCTGCACATGGTAGGTGCTCAATCATTACATACTAAATATTCACAGAAAGCAGTGATCCTGCCGAAGAGATCCACTGCAATGCACTTGGCTTCCTAGAAGCAGTAAATGAAAAGCTTTTCTATTTTTTAAAACAGAAAAGATTAATGAAGCCCTAACGTAGAGGCGGAGAGCTCAACAGAATCAAGACGTGCGCAGAAGCAATTTGCTTCTGAAACTCTAAACACGGGTGCTTTAGTACTTCCTGACACTCCTCAGCAGCAAGCAAATAAATATTTACATGTGGAAGGAAACTGTCCTTTGAAATGTAGGTTGTTCTATTCAGAAGAGAAATACGGCAAGGTACCACTGCTTTAGTGGCAACACGCGTTATTTATGTTTTCCAGTTTGAAAATCATGCGCTTTCTATTAGGACCCTTACGTGGTAAACACCGATTCCCACATGAAGCGAATTAGTCCGGCAACCCTCCCCCACCCCACTCTTGCTGGTTCAGGGACAACAGCATAAGCTCTGACCAATCACCGTTTGTTTTACGCTTTGATTACCTGGTGAGCTAAAAGCAATGATAGTAAAAGCCTGGACCTTCCATGTATTCAGTCTGCATTTGTTCCTCTCCCCTTTCTTCCATTTATGAGTTTGTTCCCAAAAGATTTTTTTAAAAAAAACTCTGACTCGAGTGACTTTTCCTCTGATCTGATCTGATGTCAAATTAGTGGGTGGCAGGAGAAAGCAGGCCACATGATATCATCGTTTCCTATTCAAACAGATGGCTTTTTTTTTTTTCAATAAAAATACTCTGACTGCAAGGCTATGAGTGTGCAGATAATTGTGCTGCTTACTCCGATTGGAGGTGTCTCCAGGGAGTTTCCACGCGCAGGAAGCTTTCCTGTTCTGAGGTTTTGGAAGAACACTTTCAGCAGGATTTCGGGTCACTGAAATGAAAGTGAACTATGCTCTGTACAAATGTATCATGTTTAATTCAAGAGAAATTCATTCATTTCTTTGTTCTATAAATATTTACTGGCAGCCCGTTTTGTATAGGAGGCTGCCACCTCCCAAAAGCCCCCCGCTCCTTGAGTGGATTGAGCCTGATACCCCACGTCAACAGAGGCCTTGGGTGCTCAACGCAGGCTCGTTCAGGTACGACAAGATAACAGGGCATGCCTGCTCCTAGAGTTCACGGGATTGTCTTATTTTATTTTAAAAATCAGACTCTTAACTGCTTGTTTAATCTAGATGTTAACACTCAACCTACAGCTACCTGAAATAGGTGAGTGGTGTTTAATAGGTGATAAAGATCATATATTGCTCTCATGGAAAGAATGCAGAAATATAGGTGTCCCTTGTAGTCTTTAGTGTGTCCCCATAATCAATGTCCCCAGCTCATTAATGGAAAGGTCCCCTCCTCCTCCTTCCCCATCGCTGCCCTCATTCCTATAATGTAAACAGCCACCAATGGCTCCTATTTCTTTGTTCAAACAAACAATAGCCTTTATAACGAGGAAGAAAATTAGTATCAGGTGAAAGCCTCACTTCAGGGTGCGTATGGCTTTTTCTTTTTTCCAGAATAACAGAGCACGCCAGTGATCATAAGAAGAAAAATTCACACTCAAAGTTTGGAAAGCAACAGGACAAAGGTCTGTCTTCAGTGGTGCGTAGACATGCTCGTGATTGAACTGGAAATAGTTCTCTTTCCTTCTCTCTGACTTCCTAACTGAAAAGCTGCAGCGTGGGGAGAAAGGCTGCTCAGAGGCCTGGAGCCAGAACACGCACCCCGGCTTTGGTAGGGCCGGCTTGCTTGGTTAGAATCGAAGGAAAAGCCTTGTTATTTGGGAAGCTGGGCGTCCTCACCAAATTAGGGGATTTAATTTGCAAATATCCAAGGAGTACTTTGAAATGAAAGACGAACTAAAATCTGCTCCAAAGTCCTTGATTTTTCACCAGTGTAGGAGGATTCTCTTGCTGCTGGACATACGTGAAAAGCACCGTCTGATTTAAACGCAAGAGACAGAGGAGAGCCTTTATAAACATTTTATACCATTCTATGAAATCAATTCGATTCAGGGCTAGAATTCAAGAAATAATCCATGGGCGAGTATGTCCGATGGTAAACCCAAACGATTATATTGTTAACCTTTTGTACATTTTTACATTTTTTTATTATTTGATATTTTTATCACAAAAATCGCTGGAACAGGACCCATGAGCTGCTCCTTCACTGCTTAGTGTTTTCAGAGGCTGACAGAAGCATTAAGCTCCAATTGAATACATGATTTCCAATGATTCCATTAATTTTTCGGGTTTGTGGTAGGATTTGATTTACTTATTTTGTACTTTAACACACCAATAAAAAATAAATATTAAGAAATAGTAAAATTTGTTGCTTCAAAATAACCCTGAAAATATAGAGATTAGTGAAATTAAGCAAATTCAAATAGAGAAATGATTATCCTTCATTTCCTTAAGGCACAGAAATTAAGACTAGGTTTGAGAACCTTCATTTTTTAAAAACTGGACAATACTGGCTAAGTGAGGACTGGGCGGTCATACTCCACACACGCCCTGTGTGCTTGGAGGGAAGAGAGGACCACACTGAAATGAGACGAGCTGGAAGGAGGTGCAGCAGTGAAGGAAATCCTTCTGCTGGGAGAATTCATGTTTTAGCATAATCCTTTCAATAGGACCCAGCAGTGATGTGAGGAGCAGCTCTGGGGCTGATTTAGATTCAGACAGTCTATCACAGGCTGTGTGGTTGCATCCCTTTGGGCCAGTCTCATTTTAGGTCCAAATATGCAGGAGTGGGGTTCTGGCTTCCAGATGTTGCAGGCTGCAAAAGGCTGGGGCCACCATCTTTAGAGAAAATCCATTAGTTTGATTCTCTTGGGGACCAGGAAGAAAACCAAGAACACTCAATGGACTGTGGGACTCCAACAGTCCACAGGAGGCATTTGTAAGGGGCAAACCTGCGTGTGCCCAGTAATTTTTGAAGCTCACAGTAGAAGTGGAGAAGCAGTGATGGGCCCCACAGAACCAGGGGCTTGGGAATGATGGAAAAGAAAAAAATGATTGAAGGACAGCTGGAAGAAAAAGGGAAGCTTCCTTTTAACTGGATGCTGGGTCTCAACCTTGAATAGTTCCAGGCCTTCGGAGGCCTTTTCTCAGGGGGCATGGCCTGGGGACTCCCTGCTTGCGCTGCTGAACTTTCAGGGAAGGAGAAATGGCCAAGGCCAGAGGCGACCATCAGGTGCTCCATAGGCACAGAGGCAGAACTCAAGGTTTAGCTTTACCTTAAGAGGGTGACTGCAAAGTGTGCTCCCTGGACCAGGGGCATCGGCCTCACCTGGGAGCTTGCTGAAACTGCAAGTTGCTCTCACCCAGACTGAATCCAAAATGCTGGGTACAGCCCCGCAATCTTGGCTTTCACACTTTCTCCAGGTGATTCTGGTGCAAGCTAACCTTTAAAAAGTTCTGGGTACCATTCCCAGAGGCTGTGATTAAGTTGGTCTAGGGCTGTGGCCTAGACCTGGGGGTTTTGGAAGCCCACAGGTGATTCTGATATGTGGCCATGGTTGGCAGGCTGTTCGTAGTGCTGTCCAGAGGTCCTGCTGTGGGATGGAAAGGGTCTGTATCTGCACTGGCCAATGTGGGAGCCAGCCCTGTGGCTACTGAGCACTTGGCCCCTGGCTAGTGCGACTGAGAAGCTCAATTTTTCATTTAATTTACTGTTGATTAAGTTTAAGTAGCTAAATGTGGCTAGTGGCTGCCTTATTGGATAGCAGAGTTCTAGAGCCACAGATAAATGTAATACTGTCCCATTAGTTGATTTAAAAATCCAATGCCTCTGTAATCCCAGCACTTTGGGAGGCCAAGGCGGACGGATCGTGAGGTCAAGAGATGGAGACCATCCTGGCCAACATGGTGAAACCCCTTCTCTACTAAAAATACAAAAGTTAGCTGGGCGTGGTGGCAGGCACTTGTAATCGCAGCTACTCAGGAGGCTGAGGCAGGAAAATCGCTTGAACCAGGGAGGCGGAGCTTGCAGTGAGCCAAGATTGCATCACTGCACTCCATCCTGGTGACAGAGGGAGATTTCGTCTAAAAAAAAAAAAAAAAAAAGGCCTCACAGAGTTAAATATTTAAGTTGATAAGAAAAATGGCAGTCTTTGAGGATTATTTTAAAATCCACTTTTGGTGATAAATAGATAAAAACAGTGTAGTAGAGTCCAGAAGTTCCTTCTGATTTCTAGCTGTTGGAGCTGACTTCCTCAATTTTACTTGCAAGAGAACTGCTTCCTAAAGGGCACCTTACCCAGCCATTCCTGCATGCAAGTGTGTTTGAGAATTGCAGAGGGCATTAGATGAAAATCCAATTCCTGGTCTCTATCCCAGATGTTCCTATCCAATAGGTTTGGGTTGGGGCCCTGGAAACTGCATTTTTGGCAAACCTCCTATTGATTTGGATGCACACGTTTCAAGGAACAGGTGCTAAGGATCACTGATTTAGAATCTGTTTGTCCATCCAGGAAAGCCAGAGTCGCCACACTTAAGTACAGTGGGTTTTGATGTAGGAAAGGTCTTTATAATTCTTTCATGAATTCACCAAACTTTAAAAGCCATACTATTTTCAAGATTGTGCTAAGCTGGGAGAGAAACTGGTGAACAGAATTCAGTGCCTCCCTTTAATAACATAAATACACTTCTTGTTGCTGTTTAGTTAATATTCGCAGCTACTGAAGGTGCTGCAATTCACTGTGTGATTGCTGAAAACTCCAATCAGTGCCTGACTTATGCTCCTTTCCACAGTGCACAGGAAGGGCCTTTTTGGGTAGTGGCTACAGCTGTTAACTGTTTGTGGGCTCAGCCTTCACATGCTATGTTACAGAAAGCCTTTGCCCTAATCCTAAATGTTGCTTCTTTTATTAATGTATTATTCAAACTGAAATACTTTTGAAAGTAAATGGGGACAAAATTAAAAATTCTTTAAGAACAGCAAGATTGTCTGGGACACACTGGGAGGTACTGTCACCCTAATTAGGCATCATTATTACTGGGGGAATGAGAATTATGAGGTCACACAGCTAGGAAGGGGCCAAGGCCCCTGCATAGGTCTGTCTGATTCTATCCTGGGTTGAATTCTGTGCCCCAAAATTCATGTCTACCCAGAACCTCGTAATTTGACCTTATTTAGAAATACGGTTTTTGAAGATGTAATTAATTAAGATGAGGTCATATTGTCAACTGCCTGGCTAAGTATTGAAGGTGTGTCACAACCTGCACAGGGTCCATTGGCAAAACCTGGAAGACTTACCGGTTCCATGTAGTTAAGGAAATCTCTAATTATTAGCTGACTTCTAAGCTAACTAAGGAGAGACTTCAGTGGCTATACATGACAAAGAATAGAGACTTTACAGAATTAGTTCAGAAAAGGCACTAAAGAAACAGTTAGCTCTACCTATAACAAACAACAACAAATCCTCAAGAGGGGAAAAATATTTCCAAAATTGTCACATTATATTATTTTAAATACCTAGTTTAAAATACAAAATTATGAAACATGCAAAGATACAAGAAAATATTACTCATTCATGGGATAGGAACTGTCCCTGAGGAAGCTTAGACATTGGGATTACTCAATAAAAACTTTGAATCAGCTATTTTAAATATATTCAAAGAACTAAAGAAAACCATGTCTAAAGGTCCAAGGAAGGGATGATAATGCTGTTTCAAGAAACAGAGAATATTAAAAATGACATGTAAATTATAAAGAATCAAATAGAAATTCTGGAGTTAAAAAGTACAATAATGGAAATACAAAATTTGCCAAAAGAAAGTCTTAACAGCATACTTGAGCAAGAAAAGCAAATTTGAAGATAAGTCAATAGAGATTATATAACCAGAAGAAAAGAAATTAAAGAATAAAGAAAAGACATGAAGCCTCAGAGACCTGTGTGACATTAAGCATAACAATATATGCATAATGGGAATCCAAGAAAGAGTAGACAGAGGCAGAAAGAATATTGGAATAAATAATGACCAAAATCTTCCTAAACCTGTTGAAAGACATAAATCTACACATCTAAGAAGTTTGATAAACTCCAAGTAGAATAAACTCAAAGAGATCTGCATCAAGACACATCATAATTAAACTTTCAAAAGATAAAGACAAAGAGAGAATCTGGAAAGCAGCAAGAGAGAAGCAACTCCTCATGTATAAGCAATTCTCAATAAGATTTATAGCTCATTTCTCATAAGAAGGGAAGCCTTCAGGATAAGATGAAGATATCCTAGACAATAAATTGAATCCACACAAAGAATAAAAGAACACTGATAAAGGTACCTACAAAAGTAAACATATAGGACAGTTATTAATGTAATTTTTGTTTGTAACTTCTCTTTTTTCTTTATTTTGTATTTCAATATATTTTTGGGGAACAGGTGGTGTTTGGTTACATGAATAAGTTCATCAGTGGTGATTTCTTATATTTTCATGCATCCATCACCCAAGCAGCATACACTGTACCCAATGTGTAGTGTTTTACCCATCACCCCCTCCCACCCTTTCCCCTGAGTCCCCAAAATCCATTGTATTATTCTTTTTTTTTTTTTTTTTTGGTACTTTAACTTGTGGGATATATGT